CTAATGATGATGGAAGTGAGAGTGTCAGTAGCCAAGCAACAACAACAAGGCCACTTCCTGGGAGGGCTCCCAAACCAACACCAGGTGTCAATATTCCAGAACAATGGAAATCTTACCACAGAATGATGTTCCTTAACTTCATGGATTTTGTACATGGAAGAAGAGATAATCCTCCCACTGAAGATACAAGATTTGCTAGGGACAATGTATTCACTGATACTGAGCTTAATGACCTCACTCCTGATCATGTTTATAGATTCCTTTCATTACAGGCTTACAAGAAAAAGGATCCAACTCCTGATGACAATCATGTTCATTTTAGATCTAATTATATAGTACACAAAGAAAGCTATTTCATATTTTGTTCCAAACAAGACTATCAAGTGGACTGTGATTTAAGGGGTTGGCCACAGTAATCCAACACAAATGCCTAAAGTGAATGATTTAATTGCTTCAATCAAACTAAAGGAAACATGAGGGCTGGGGAAGCCAACTCAGATAAATAGAGGACTTACAACAAAGAATGAGTTTTTGCAAGCACTTGAGCTCATGGAGCAACATGGTTCTGTGATAAATAGGAGAAGATTTTCAGCAATGATGGCAGTGCAAATGCACCTTGTGGCTTGTAATGACAATACAACTCACATAACAAAGAATTCTTTGAAGGCTTCTTGCTCTAGGTTCCCTGAATTTTTGACCTTGAAGATGAAGTGGTCAAAGAATGYGAAGGAAGAGAGAGATTGCCCTGATCAGATTTTGATGGGATCTATGAATCCAGAAACATGTGCGGTGCTTCAGTTAGCATTATTTTTGGAGAAGTGCYGGTGCCAAGACGGACAACAAGGAGCAATTAGCCAATGACTCTTTACTGAAGAGACCACAAGTTCAAGATCACACATGAAATTTATGAAGAAGGAAACTGCCCTTGGAAAAGCCCAGTATTCTGGATTTCTCACTGGACATGTTTGGAAAAATGGTGCATTTCATAAGGAGAAGCCAGGGAGGTTGGGGACACACTCAATTAGGAAGTATGTGATTTCAYTTWGCAGACATGCAGGAATGACCAAGGAAGATRTTAATTATAGAKCTAGATAGAAAGGAAACCACATACAGCAATACCGTTACACTGATATGTAATTACTATGGCCATATATTTATGTTGCAAGCCATATGTGTCATGATGGTATTTGSCTGTACWWGCCAGTAGAGGAGSGATCTGGAATAACAGATGGGTGGATTGTTGAAAATGTTACTCCCAATATTGCAAGTGCATTCAGCAACGAGGTAGCTGTGATTCTAGGAAAGGCATTGCTTTGGGCTGCATTTGATYCTTYTATGGTTGGCATTATTCCAGATGATGTAAGAAGGAAAATGATGGCATCTTTCATCCAGCTGAATACAATACTAGTCAGAGCTAATGCTGTTGATGATGGTGCTAATCCTACTATTTGGAAAGCTGAAATGGTTGCAAGTGGGTCATGCAACATCTCYATACTACTAGTAAGAATACTAAGAGGCAGGATCAAATTGCACTAAGAGAGGAGGGAGCTCCTTCTCTGTTGCCTCCACTAAGAGGGGGAGCACTCCATCAACTTGTCTTGCGGCTCTGTTGCCTCTGCTACTAGTAGTAGGGGGGAACCTTCTTTGCAACAATCAATTTGATAATTGGTCTTGCATGTTG